TGTCCGGGATTTCATCTGCCATCTTCCCCTCCCGGAATGGGAGGAGTGGTCCAACAAAACTAGAGGGGGCCGGCCAAGCTACTCTACCCGGTTCTCCCTTCAAGCTGTCCGGCTGGCTCCCCCGGCTGGGGTGGGCGGGCTTCTTCTAAGGAGCCCTCCGTTTGAGAGAGGAAGCTCCGCGGTGCCCCGGAGGAGCCTTCTGCTTGCGGGGCTCGAGCCCGCGGAGAACGACGCTGCTTCCCGCTTTTTGCCAACACCCGGGCGAGCCGCGCTTGCTCTTTCTTTTCCCTGCTTGCTTTTGAAAGGAAAGAGCAACTCAAAGGAACCGGAGGGCTTCTCGCCGGCGGGAAGCGGGAGAGCAGGACTGCACGTACTGAAACAAACCGCCTGGCGTTTGGCGTTTGGCGTTGCCGCCCGATTTGCCGGAGGAGGAAGCGTTGTGGGTGCTTGGGGAGGGCAGCTCTAGCGCTACTGGAAGGCCGAGGCGGCTCCTCGCCAGAGCGAGAACTGGGGGCGACGAATGCTGGGGTTTTCCACCGCGGCGAACTCAGCACTTTCCCGCGCCTGCCGCTCTTGAAGACAAGAGCGCGGCGGACGAGGCCGCTGGGCTTCCCGCGCAGGCCGCGGCTCTCGCGTTTTGTGGCGTGGATGCCGCGCGGAACCCTGGGCCGGCCCGATCCAGCTCGATGGAGCGGGGTACATGTGGAACTCAGGCCGGAAAGTTCGGAAGTCTTTCCCCTGCCTGGGAGGGGCTCGATCCCAGGGGAACAATATACCCAGCGTTGGAGTCCCGAGGTTGACGAGAGATTTACGCACGTGCTTAAACCGCTTCCACTGAAATAACTCAGACTTTAATGGCACTTGGACTGAACTGGGAAAAGACTGGGGAGGGAAATGACAAACAGAGCTTCATCTGCGTCGTTCTTCTGCCAGCGCTGACTTAATCGGGAAACGTTAAAAAGTAAAAAGTTGTTTTGCGTCCCCTACATTCCAAAGCCAATGGGACTGTACTGTTTTCCAATAGAAGAGTCCTTCCCCCACCCCCGACAAGGTCACTGATTGATCTTCTGCAACTCACCATACAGTATACTAATTTCAACCACCACCACCCGTTTCTGACCTTATAATAACCTTGAGGGTGGTCGGAATGACTCTCGAGGTAACGTACAGACCTTCTAAACCTCAGATCGATGCATTTCAGAACTTGTGATGCAGCCCTTTGAACAGGGGCGGAGAAGGCAGCCATCCTGAACTCAGTGGGGCTTACTTCTAAGGAACCTACAAAGGATCAAGCTATCTCGCTCCCTTCGCCTTTCAAATCAATGGAACATGTTTTAAAGCGCTTCCTTTTGCGTTGCCGACCGTTCCGTTCAGCACAAGCTCAGGCTGAACGGGCGGGGGCCTAAAAGAACCTGCTGTTGCCTTGCATGTATTTCAAGGCTGCATTTGAATTTAGCAAGGCTAAGGGACCCTTCCCACATTTAATACAAAGAGATGCAAACAGATCTTCCCCAGGGTCGGAGGCATGAAAGCTTTTTCTGCAGATCTGTGCCGCGTGAAGGCTGCTGGGCAAGGGGAGGGACGCTAACGCGGGACAACATTTTAGAGCAAGTGAAGACTTCGGGCGGCTTTGCTTTCCCCATTCCCGGACCATCCTGGGGAGAAAATGATTCCGCTGCGAGCCTACAGAGGGCGCTGCGAGCTTTGCTAAGGAGGGCTTCTGCTTTAGCGCTAACCCTCCTGTTCCAAGTCCCAAGTCCTTAGACCGGCGAAGGCGCGCGCTCGCGGGCGCCCAAAGCTCTCGCCCGGAATGCACTTTTGCTTTCACCCGCGGAGCAAACCAGCCCCGTTTCTATCTGTGGCTGTGCAGCGGAGCCCCGCGATCCCTGCTGCTCGGACTGCTTTCTTCGGGGAGCGAGCAATGTCCGATTTGGGACGCTAGTCGTTAAGCGAAAGCCCTGCTCGTGCTCGACGAGAGCGAATCTCACTTGCTGAGCGAGGGGGAGGAGACCCAGCCAGAAGGCCGGAAGGGGATCCTTCGCTAAATTCGTTCAATCCCGTGCGGGCTGGGAGTTTTTCGCGGGGCTACGTCCCTGTTTCTTGCGCCCTAGAAATGCAGTCAGTTATTTCCCCGCGCGTTCTTTCGTAACATTCGTACTTCCAAACCTTCAAGCGCTAGAGATTTTGAAAGAGAAAGAGAAGAGAGCGAAGTTTATAAGCGTGTATGTGAGAAAAGGATGGATGGAAGGACAGACAGACAATTTTTCAGGATTGCCCTTCCGTTTAATGCGAACTGAAGGCGATGCACGAACCTCTCTTGCTCTCTCTCTCTGAGAAAAGCGGCCCTGTACAATCCAAGAGCAGAGGAACTTGTTTTTAGCAGACTTCCTGCCCTTAACTATCTGGAGAAATAAATCCCATCGCTTTCTGCCACGGTCGCACCCAGCTTCAAGCACACTACAAACTGCACTTCTGAGCCAGCTTGCTAGGAAGTGTGCCTTGTTGCACTCAGGGGCTCTTACTTCCGAGTAAGCGGGTCTCGAGCCACTGTGAGGTGAGTAAATCTGCTGCACCCACATCACCTACTAAGAAGCACAACTTCCTAGATAAGCAGGTACAGTGCTCGATTACGGTCAGACTTCCTTAGAAATAAGGCTGCTTGCAGTCCAGTTTCTGAAAAATTCCGGAGAAGATCGGGCAGCAAGCAGCTAAACTTCGGCTACTTGTTAAGGACACGCGCGCGCTCCCGACCGCCAGCCGCCTCCTAGGTCCAAATAACAGCAGCGAAAAAGCCTGTCGTGCCATTCGTTTCTCCCGCTACAAAGATCCATCCGTGCTCCCCCACCTTTTTTTTTTTTTTTTTTGCTACAGGGAAGAATGGAAGGAAAAAAGGGATCCACAAAGCACCGGCAAATTCTCTCAAAGGGGAGGAAAAAATCCTTTTTTGCATGCAGTGCTCTCGCAGTTAAAGGAAAACGGAAGAAAATCCAGATCAATATTGTCACCCTTGATGGGGAATTTATTAATATTTGATTTCAAATCTCGTTCTGGTTTCCGACAAGTCCTGCTCCGAGGATTGCGCAGTTCGGATAGGCTGTCTCCAGCATGATTTTTTAATGACTTTCCCAGCTGCTTCTTTCCATTTTCCACCGTCAACAACCATCTGGTATCTGATTAGCACCTCAATGCTCTTTTAGCATTCTCATTTAGGAAAAAGAGAAAACTCGGGGCGGGGGGGGGGGGGCGGAGGGGGGGGGGGTGGGGGGGGGGAGGGGGGCCCCGGGGAAAAATTTT